AAAGCAGTGGCGAGAGATGCCTGCTTTTAACTCACAGGCAAAAAAAAAAACCCCCTCGTGAACCCCGAAAGAAAAGCGAAGCCCTGACCTCAAGCAGCTGGAAGGAATTTCCTTCGGCTCCACCTCTGGAGCTGGTCCAGCGCAAGGAGCCGCAGCGCGGCGCTGGGAAAAAAAAAAAAAAAAAAAACAAAACAAAAAAACCCCCCAAAAAACTCAAGCAGCTGCAGAGCCAGCCCCCAAAACCAGGCTCAGATGTCACAGGGCCACGTCGCCTTCGCCGGGGATGGAGCTGGGGGGAAACCGCAACGCTGCTCCGGCCGGGAGCGACCTCCTTTGCCATCCAAACCCAGGGGACAACCGGATTGGGGGGGGGGGGGGGGGGGGGCGTGGGGTGGAAAAAAAACCCAAATTCTTGCCACGCTGTGATTTTACTGAGGGGATGGTGTCAGGCTGCAGCCAGCACCGGCTCTGAGCGTCCAACCGGCCCCATCCCCTCGACAGCGAGCGGAGAGAGGCGAGGGGCACGGCGAGGATCCCAACAGGCCCCTCGCACCCCGGGGGCACAGTCGGCCTGAGATCCAGCAAAGCTCGACTGGGACTCCGGCTGGGGGGGACAGAGGAAACCTTTGGGTGTCAAATGGAACCAAAAAATGTTTATTTTACCCATTTCAGCTGCGTGCAGGCTTGGCGGGGGGCGGGGGGGGGGGGGTAGCGGTGGATTTTTGCCGTGTGCCCGGACAACTAAGAAATCAAACTGACCTCCTACCAAGAAGCGCTTTGAACCTTTGATCCCTTCTCCCCAAGAGCGAATCCAATGCTTTTTTTGAACTGGAATCAGGAAATTTCCTGGCCGTGTTCCCCGGCTGGCAGACACCGAGCACAAAACCTTAACCCTCTCCACTGCCTTTGGGCAGGGGGACACAGACAGAACAATGTGACAATGCAACGAAGCAACTGATCACTGGAAAAAAAAAAAAAAAAAAACAAAACAAACAAACAAACAAAAAAAAAAAACAGAAAAGTCTTTATAACAGAAGAAATACCCAGTAGCACAACTGGTACCACTGCACTTTTCAGCAAGCGCTTTTGATTCTGGACAGTTTAACAGACAAATGATCCCACGACCTTAATACCGAAGAGCACCTTTAAATGTGAAAGTGTTTTTGCTACCGTTGGCAGAGAAATGTGCAGAAAATAGGTCGGCTGCGGCTCCCATCGCTGAGTTTGAAGTCAAGTGCTTTCACCCAGCGTTGTTGGGAAGGCAAACTAGAGGTTTGCTCAGGGCTGATTTTGCAAGTTCCAGGAAAAAAAGGCAAAAATAAACAGAGAGAAAAAAAAAAAAAAAAATCAATAGCGCCTTTTAATCCGGTCTGCAGGAGGGGGGGAAGCGGAGTTTGAAGGAGAGCCCCGCTTGGGCTCCCATCGGATCACAGAAAAGAGAAATGGAAATCACTGATCAGGAGGGTTTGAAGCAGAGTCGCCAGCTTCTCGCCTTGAAACGCGCACACAAGCTGCCTGTGTACGCTTCAGTTTGCTCCTCAGCGATGAAATAACCCTTGAGGAATTTTTTCCCTTTGGCCTTGGGGATTTTTTTCTACTTCCCCCCCCCCCACACACACACACACACCTTTCCCCAGCATGCAGCTCCATCCCAGACCCAACGTCCCGACCCTCTGAGCTGACTCTTCAGCACGAAAGCGCGGTGGGAAAGGACGCGCCACCGCCTCCTCCTGCCCCCAGCCCCTGCTTGCTGCCCCGGCACTCAACACAGCAGCATCGCCCCGTGCCACGTAGCTCGGGTGCTAAAAAAAAAATTTAATAGCGCATACGTCTATTAAAAAAAAAAAAAAAATGGAGTATTTTAGACCAAGCAAAGCACCAAAAGCCAGGGCTGAAGTCAGGCACCACCGTACTGTGGGCAGCTTCACGCCGCCCGTTGCAGCCCCCCCTGCCCCTTTTTTGATTAATTTGTTGGTAATAATCTTCCACCTCCCTTTGCAGTTGCAGGGTTTTCCCCAAGTAACGGTTTCCTTGGGGAAAGCGGATCAGAAGCCCTGTGAGAAACGCTCGGCCTGCGCCGCTGAAGGGCCAGACCAGAGAAGTTGGTGTTAAACGCTCTGGGGAATTTGCAAATTCCTGGGCGATGACAGCGAGAGCCAGGGAGGGCTCCCAAAATACCGCACCTGGAAGAACATCTTGCTTTGATCCCAGTTATCTTTGGGCTGAAGAAAAGCAAATCGCGTTCTGTGGAGCAGAAGAGCAACCGGCCTTCTCTGCTCTTTTATATTGAGGAGCAGATGGACTCAATGACCTCCTGAAACCCTTTTTCCCCCCCGTTCCCTAAGCTCCTTTAACGCGGAAAAAAAAATAATCAGGGCAACATCCAGCGATCAATAATCCCTACAAAATCTTGTTGGAGGTAGGCACCCTGCGCCGGCTCCGCGATCGCAGCTGCTAGCAGCCGTCCTATAAAGGCAGTAAGAGGAGCCAAGAGCAATTTGGGATGCAGGAAGGCATAATGCTCTCGTTTACACTAAATAAGGTTGCTAGGTTATGGATTTGGGGGGGGGGGGGATGGACACGACATAATCTGAAAGGGGATCCAGATGGCTGTAAAGCCTCGCGGTGGAAAAGCAGCATGAGGCCAGAGAGGGAAGAATTCTTCTTTATGCTGCTGCCGTCTGCTCCCAGATCCTGGATTTCAGTCCTCAGGAATGCTCTCTGTGGACCCTTTTAATCGCACCATTTATGTTTGCGGTAAGAAATTAAGGAGAAGGGATAGCTGCATGCAGAGGAACAAAAAAGTTGGTGTCTGGACACTGGAAAAAAGTCACTAAAACAAATCCCATCGAGGAGCTGTTCCCAAAAGCCCAGGCAGATTCTGCCAGGTTTGTATTTTAAGATGCTGACAGTGTTAAAAAGCCTTCAGGAAAACCCAAACAAACCCAGACCTCAGCCTGCTGGGAATCTACACTAATGCCACGTCACTGCTGTTTGCTATTTTTCCTAATACTTACAGAAAAATGAGCTGTGCAGTCGGCCCGCCCTTCCTCTGGTTTTAAAAACTGTACTGGGTTTTGGGGGAGTAATTTTTTTTATCGTTCCTTCTGCTCTGCTAACAGAGACCGGGGGGATTTTGCAACGCTTTGGAGTCCAGCAAAAAAACCCTCCCCGGAGCCATACGGATACGGGACACAAACTGCTTCCCTCCCACGGGACCGGCACAAGCAAAGGTGGCTGCAAGGATTGCAAACCCCTCAAAATTTAGCTGGAAATGGAAAATTGAACTTTTCCACTCCCAGATTTGCACAGCCAAGCGAGGTGCTTGACGGAGATAAATAGGCATAAACCCAATATACGCATCTCCTCCTCTGTGGCGCAGAGTTTCACTGTCGAAGGTGATGCCATGGGACACCATCCTTTTCCCCTGCTCTCCCCGGCATCGTGGCTTGACCTCAGTGGGATGGAGAAAGTCAAGGGACCTTAAAACTCAGGGTTACCTGCAGCATGGGGGTCTGTAACCAGGAGGCGATAGGTAGCCACGCATGAATTTTCATCCTTACTTACCCACACCCCCACTTTGCCGAAGGAAGTGGCTTCTTACAAGGGTTTCTCATAAATTGAGCCCAAAATAAGTAAAACCCCAAGTTACAGGTGTGCTGCTGATACAGAGCTCGTTTTAAAAAAGCCAAACAACTTTTGAGAGTGTTAAAGTTTGCACCTTTCTTGCAGCCGACCGAACAAAACCCGCTAAATATTTTCCAACTGCTTCAAGGCTCCCCGGCAGCGAAGGCCTCCTCGGGCAGCGAAGCTAAAAAACACCAACGCAACTTTCAGGCATGTAAGTTTGCTGTTGGACCTTTACAAATTCCCAGGCACTGAATCGCCTACTAGAAGGCAAAAATACACAAGTGGCACCGACGAGTCGGCTTAGCAACGAGCATGCGGGCTGCCTCGAGCGGTTTTTTAAAGGTCAAGTGAACACATGATGCCTGGGAGCCCTCACACTTGGTTTTTACTACGAGTTAAAGATACTTCCAGCGAGCCCGGTTATTAAATTGCCGCCTCGCGCCAGCCAGCCAGAGATCTTTTAAAACCAGTCTTTAAAACCAAGACTTTCCCCTCCACAAATATCGTTATCCCTCTTTCAACCCATTCCTGCACCCTTCCCCATCTTCCCCAAAACGGTGGCTTTTGAGGGGGAGAACCTGCTTGGAGAGAAAATGCAAGGAAAGGTCCCGCCGCCGGCGGGATTTTCGGGTAGCGCCGCCAAGAAGTATCATTGAAATTCAGTGGGAGAAGCCGGTTTTCCTCCGCTCTGCGGGGGCTGCCATGTTAAATCACATTTGGATTCACAGTACAAGGCTGCTAAAATACCACCGCGGCGGCTATTGGCACATTTCAATGAAAACACCATGGCCTCATTAGTATAGTGGAAATTATGAGCTTGTCTTTGTATATATTTAAAAGCTCGCCTCTGAAAGTATATTGGGTTGGGGCCAGAAATTCCTGGCTTGGAGCTCTTACCACTCGCCAGTTCGGGATTGCCTCGCTCACACAGGTCAGGCAACCGTGCAGCCATCGACCCGGGAGAAAAGGCATTTAAAGAATATCCTGCGGGGAAAGGCACGGGGCAATATTGCAAGAGGAGGCAGAGCAACCAGGTTTGACCTAAACCCTCCTCCATGTTAGCTCCGTGCGGGGTTTTTCCTTGCGAGCCAGTTAGTGATCGTGTCTTAATGAAAGGTTGTAATTAAGAGGATGTGAGAATGTGGGGTGCGTGGAGTTCCATCCCGTTCCCATCGCTCCTGGCGGCCGGGGTGAAAGCATCCCGTTGACCCAAAAAGCACCGTTCCTCTCTGGGGGTGCACCACAAAAGCCTGAATCCTTTGCAAAGAGGCAACCTCATGAAATAACATCATTTTCAGGATCTGCTCGTCTCAATCTGTGAGTTTGCAAGTCTCTATCAAGGAAAGCTTCCGGGTCAGCTCCCTACTTACCCGCACGGGTGCCGCAACGCAGCCAAGCCACGCAAACCCAACGTATCTGCTGAACGGCTACCGTGGTTTGGTGCCAGGGGTGCTGGAAAAAAGAAAAAAAAAAAAAAACAAACCCTAATATTGCACAAAAAGCCAGAGCGAGCAAGGGAGAGGATGAAGATACTGTTTTTAAACGCTTTGATTGGCAAAGACTCTTATAAATTGGTTCAGCTCTTAGTAACAGCACAGAGATCCCCTTTTAAAACACGGCGATGACGTTACGCGGCATAGAGAGAAAAGGGAGGGGAAAAAAGAAAAGGCTTGGCTAATCCTTGCAATTTTATAAGCATCTGAGACACTAATCCCTTGATCTCATTGAAAAGGATTAGAATTACTCCCTCGCCAGTAAATTTAAGAAGTTTTCTACCAGATGTAAACAAAAGGGGAGAGCAGCCCGCAGAGATGGCTGCCACACAGCGAGGCCTTGCTGAGAAATCCTCACCAGGGCTGGTTTTGGGGTAGAAAAGGGGAATTTCCACCCCAGAGCCGGGAAGGGTTGGCTGGAACCATGCTGGTATCCAAGGCGAGCCCAGTCAGCTCGCCCGGCTGCCGCCGAAAGGCAGGATCCTGCTCCAGGTGAGCATCCCACCAAGGCACCACAACCCCTTTTTGGGATCCCGCTCTTACGAGAACGATGGTCCAGCTAAAATACCCCCCCCCCCCCAACCCCCCCCCCCAACTTGTCTGCACTGGCTATGGAAAACATTATTTTAATAGTCAGAGCAGAGGGCAAACTTCTAAGCAGAAAATTGGATAAACTCAGCTTCCCTGCAAACTTCATCTGCACAGCTTTGAGGCAAGGACCCGCATTATTAAGGTGGAAAAAATATAACACAGCATCCTCGTGTAAACAGTCTGGCACCTGCTGCTATGCCTGCAATGAATAATTCATAATATTGAAGAAAAGATTATTTGATTTAGAAGATGAAGCAGGCAATGTGCAACCTGGTTTCTGATACCAACCACAGTTCACTCCCAAGTTTGATGTTCTGGCTGTTAAGAGAAATGGTAATAGCTGAAATAAATCAGAACTTAAAGTAGGGTTCAGGCCAAAAGGATTCAGGTGAGGAAAAGCCACTTTTCCTCCAGAAAAGAAAGCAAGTTTCTCTTAGTACTTACTTCTCTCCTCTTTTAAATTCTATCCAAAAAAGAAACCTGAAGAGTTTTAAGTTTCAACCTCAGTTTAAACCAGGACTCAGTCTCATCAGGATTTATCTTAAAAGCACTCCTTTTGGAGGTGTTTGATGGGACCGCAGCAGACTCCCTCCTCTCCAACCCGTTTTTAATGGGATGCCAATATTTTTTTTTTGTCCTTAGGCACAGAAAAATATTCTCGTGGCGTTGGGAAAACGCTCGCCATCCCCACGCAGCCCAACTCCTCACTCCCTGCAACGCTCCCGCTCCCAGTTTTAGCATCCAAGCACCAGCCCTTGGCCCGTCACCGCCCCGACCTGCTCCTCCTGCTCCACCACCAGCAGATGCCTCGGGATGATGCTGCAGGAGATGCAAGGGGGAAGCCCGGAGCACACCGCGACTCAGCATTCCCCAGGCAAAGCCACAGCCAAGGAAATGATCCATTTTCCCTGCTTTTCCTCCCAAAGCGCCGCCCCCAAACAGTGCTCAGCGAAATGTGAGGAGGTTTTTTTTTTTTTTTTTGGTGGGAATGCAAAGCGAGGACGGGGTGGAGGGCTCAGCTGACAGACAGCCCACCTACGCCAGCGCCAGCAGCCAGGCTCTAGGCAGCTCTCAGGCGAGATTATCACTATTTATTCAGCCATAAAACCTCCCAAAACTGCACAATCCCGTCCCAATTTGGATGGCCACCACTCTCACAGGGTCTCCAAATGCCTCATCTTTTATTTCAGACGCCAAGAAAGTGAGATGCTGGGTCTTAATCCAGCACTTCTCATCTAAAAAGCCAAAAAAAAAAAAACCAAAAAACCAAAAAAACAAAAACCCCTGCAGCTGTGTTAACAACCAACGAGCCAGGAAATCGCCCCAGGGGAAGCCCAGCCTGGCAACGGGCTTTTATACAGAACAATAGAAAACCAAGAGTCTTTAAAGCACCACGGAAATATTTGCCTGTTCGCAAGCAAGCTCTGCATGGAGAGAAGTTTAATTCAATCCTTATGGTACGCCGGCAATTTAATTTCACACAGGTTGCAAGCACGAAGAGCCTGGTTGGGGGGGAGGCACAACACTCAGATGAATTTTATTTTAGTTGGAAGCTGTCAGGTGGGAGACCGTGCTCCCTCCCACCCAATTCTGATGGGCTTCACCCATCATCTTACCTGCCGGGCTGCTCCTCAGGGCTTCGAAAGGACCAACTGAAGAGCCAAAACCTCACTTGTGGATTCCCGACACTCTTATATTTTCCTGTAAATACTCTTCCAAGCCGGGCAGGCAGGAAACCCCACGCTATTTACAGGCAGGGAGAAGGGTAAGAGCCCCGAGCCGGGCGATGGCCGCGACCAGGGGAGCGGCCGCTCTCCCTGCTCAGCGCTTTCAGTTTCTCTCTTCCAAACGCGCTCCTGGCGTGGTTTCCTCTAAGGTGCTTTCCGAGTTAAAAGCTGTATTAGCGGCAAAGATTAATCCTCCACGGGGATAAAAACATAAACCAGGAGAAGTTATTCCTGCTTCCGTCTCACGTTTGCAGCCCGGGAGCTGGAGCAGAAAAAGCAACCGGCCGCAGGACTTCCCTGCCTGGGCTTCCCGCGGTCCGGCCCTCGCTCCTCCTCCTGCTCCTCAGTGTCTCGCCTCTTTTTTTTTTTCCGAAGGCCGATCCAGTTTTAGCTCCGGCGTCGGAGCAACCCGAGACCTCGCAGCCTTCGCCTACGCCGAGGCAGCTGCTCGTAGTTAATTTGGTCCGGGGGCTCTGGCGCTTGGCTCCCCCTCCACGTGTCGGCGTTGGGGTTTTTCGCATCTCTGGGAGCGGCGAGTTTGTCCGTCCTCCCCCAGCGCGTCTTCCCCTCTCCTGCCACCGCTCGTCCTTCCCTCGGAGGCTTCGCAGCCGCTCCGTCCTCCTCGCTGACGCTGCTGCCAGCGGCCTTTCGAGGGGTTTTGGATGGCTGCCCTTTCCTCCCGTCGACACCCCTCCGGCACTGCCATCAGTTTACCAGCAGGACCCAGGACCCCTCAACGCACGGTTGGAACAGTTGAGGTTTCTTTTTTTTATTTTGATGGAAATTAAATGTGCCATACAGGTAGAAAAACAACACGTCGAGTGGCCCGTGTCATCGCTCCGGGTAAGGAAAAGCATCTGAAAACGATGCAGCTCCATCCCCAGCGAGCGCCGGGGTGCCGCCGCATCCCGGGCTCTGCCCACCGTGTCCGACGGAGAAGACGTCGGGGGCTTTCCCGTTCCTCCAGTCTGGAATCAAATTCCCTCCGCCCACGGCCAGCGTGAATCCACGGGGTGGGGGGTGGGGGGGGGGTTTTTGCATCCTCTCCTTGAATGCATTTTCGATGGGCTCGCCTGCATTTCTCAACCAAGCAAGAGGGGCCGCCGGGGTCAGGCGACGGCCGAGCTCTCCGTGCAGATAAACCCCGCACGTCGTCATCGCTGATGTCATTTTAAAGCACTGGCAATGAGGCAGGGCAGGGATGAGGGCAGCACGGCCGCTCCCGACGCAAAGTCTTGAGTGGTTTCAGGGCAACGTTGCTACGAAGGGACAGGGGAGGGAAGTCTACGCGAGGTGGACCATATCTTATGTCAACAACATTCACCTTTATGATGCATGATCAGAGGAAACAAAAATAAACAGAAACCCGGCTCAGCGACACCAATCACAGATGATACCAAAACGCCCGGAGACCAGGGGAAGCTTCAAATCCAAAAAAACACCCTCCAGGCTTTGACGCCAACGGTTGAAGACCACCAGAAGCATGTGCACCTCCGACCCCAGCCCCCGGGGAGGGGGTGGCCTGGGTTTGCTGTGCAGCTGAGCGAAGCAGAAGGAGTCTGACTGGGTGGGAGAGGACCTTGTCTCAGCTGTGCCAAGCCCTGCCATCCCACGGCAGAAGGGCTTCGGGTCTCTGTGGTGGGAGCAGGAGGAGATGAGTGTGCCCAGCTGTGCCTCTGCTTTACCTTTTCAACGCCCAGGTGGTGTTTTACAGCTACAAACTAATCATTCACAACACATCTTCTGCCATACGGTTGATGCGAAGGCAACAGTCGGATCATTGGGAGGGGTGAGCCAAGAGGGAGCACGTGGAGAGGTGGTCTGTAAGCATGAAAGCCCTCTGAGCAAAGCCGGGTGTCCTCATATCATCCCACACATCATGTAGTCCAGGAGATCAGCTAGAAACCAGTCCTTCTTGGGCAAAACTTCCAGGCCTGGTTCAGTCTCACAGTCTGGAGACATCCCACGAGCAGCTCTGCTGCTTCCTCACCATATAACCCTCAACCTCCTCCTCCTCATCATCACCTACCTCTCCCCCGGGACGCAGCCAGGACCACTCTCCGGTCAAGAATGGCAGTAGCAACCAGTGGTCATCGTCCCATTTCCCATTTTGGCTCTTCCTTATTTGAAGTTTGGACAGATGCCACTACCATCCAGAGTGTGTTGATCAAGGTGTCCTTCAGAGCTGGTCCATCACAGGCGTCTCCAGTTGAGCTTGGAAGCGAGCGGACCGGAGCCCGGGCTGTACAAGCAAGAGGCACCACCACAGCCCACCCACCTCCACAGCTTGTCCCCCCAAATCTGACAGAGCCTTGGACTAACCACCACCACCAGCGACCCAACGAGCAGACCTAGTGTGTCCAAAACCCAGCTGGAGATGAGAAGGAAGGTCCCAGCTATCGGGCCAGCCTTGACATAAACTTTTACCGAGCAGAGCAGCGACAAACTAAGCAAAGCCAAGCTGAGCTGGTGGTCAGGTGGAGCTTTGGGAGGCTGTGGAGGGGATTTCCTTTGACAGCAAGACCCGGAGACCCAGGAGGTCACCACCACCCTCAGCTCCAGCAGCTCTACCACCCACTCAGGACCAGGCCCTTCACCTGCAGGCATCAGCCCCACAGCACCATCCCTCCTGGCTGCTTTCAGCACACACTTCGAGGGTGGAAGGATTTATTTTCCTTCTTTTTTTCTTTTTTAAATACCTCAATTAGCACATTCTGGGTTCTTTCCACGTTGCCCCTAAGCATTTCTTCCGTCAGGGGCTGTATTCTTCCTCCATCAGTTATTGGAGGCAGAGGCTTGTTATTTTTCTGGGCTGGGGGCCAAATTTGTATTTAATTTTTGCTCCAGATGGCACAGCACTCTAGATGCATCAGCTGGAGCATCTAACCTGTATGAATAAAGTAATAGAGCAAATAACCTGATTTACTCAGGGGCTGTTTGACACGCTCAAGGTAGTTCTGTTTACACCCATCATAAAAAAGAAGCATTAATATGAATTCAGGCTACGGCCTCGCTATCAAACCAAGCACCCACTGAAGCGGAAACAACAATAGGAATCTAAAATAATAATAATAATAATAATACTTGTATTTTGCTTTCTTGCAAGTCAAGCATAAAAAAAAAAAAAAAGGTTTTCAGCTATCAAGGCAGTTGGGTCTGAGCCTGGACCTGGGTTTCGTTCACCTCCCTCCCTCCTCACCAGCCCCAAAGCCACTGTTGGCAGCGGGTCGTGCAAACCAGGGTCGATCTTCTCCTACGAGCAAGGAGAAGGGTTGGGGAACTCTGATTTCAGCGTGTGGTGCTGAGAGCTTATGGCCCCTCAACACCCAAGGAGACACGAGGAGGACACAACAGGACAACCACGAGATGCTCCGGTTACGCTTCTGGCTCATTCGCCCCATTTCTAGGAAGCTGCCACATCCCTCCAGCGCAGCCTGCAGCTGGGATATGTTCCCGGCAGGCTAAATCACCCAAAATAACCCAGGAAAATAAATAATTAAAAAAAGAGATGCGAGTAGTCAGTTTATCTGCCTGGGCACATGAAACGCTGCACAAAATCAGCTGAGCCTGTGAACGGCTGGAAACAAAGGGACGGGGGGGGGGTGGGTTGTGCTTGTCTTTGCTCTTTTCAGAGCATCCTCGGGTTGGGAAAGCCCGTCCTGGCGGCAGCCGAGACAAAGGAAAGCCAGGAGCTGTCGGCAGGAGCCGGCTGGGGAAAACCGGGGTGAGGAGGCACCCGCATCACCCTCCCCGGCAGCCGCGGAGCCGGGTTCGCGTGTTGCCGAACACGTTATACATGGCAGGAAACTCGAGATCAAAGAAGAGGAGCGTGCCAGAGCAAGATGTCATCCAAACCTCCTGCCAAAGGTGCGCAAGGGAAGGGGGGGGGGGGGGGGTGGGGGGTGGTGGTGTGGAAGAGAAAATAACCCCCCAGACACACACTGGCGCATCTGACACACCGCACACCTGGCACAACTCATGGGCATACAGGGCGACTGGACGCGCAGAGATGCTCTGCTCCGCACACCCAGGATAAAACAAAGACAGGCTAAACGAAACAAACAAACAACAAAAAGAAAAGGAAAAAAAAAAAACAAAAACAAAAAACCCCAAAGCCCCTGGATGTGCATTTTTACCCGTTGGTTTTCTGTCCCACGGGACCCACGCGCATCCCCTGCCAAAGTGGGTGAAGCGGCGGATGCTGGGAGGGCTCCGTACGTGCCTGGACGGCAGGAACAGCAGCCCTGTGTAACTCCAAAAAGCAGCTTTTCCCATTTCTGGGTGTTTCGGTTTGGTTTTCTTTTTGTTTTGTTTTGCTTTTTTTTTTTTAAGCCAAAGAAACCCACAGCGTCCTGTCTCTGCCCCAGGAAAGCGAGGGGACGTGCCTGACTCCGAGCCAGCGGCTACCAGGAATGGAGGTGACCTGGGGGACCCCAAACCAAGCGTGGGATGAGACATGCCCCCCCCCCCGAGCTTCCCCTCGTAAAGGGGATCCAGGCGGGCTGGGCGCTGGGTGGGGACATGTCCCCTGTGTCCCTTTGTGCCACCCCAGCCCCCTCCCCTCTGTCACTGGTGGGCGATGCGGTCCCAGGCCATGGTCCAGCTTCTGCTGCCCCCTCCTCCCGGGCTTAAGTGGGGACCTTATGGGTCCCCAGTAGGGACCCTATGGCACCCCCATAGGGCTGCCAGCCACCCCAAAGTCACAGCCTGGTCACTCTGAGGGGGGGGCTACCCTAGAGGGGTCTGCCAGGGGTGGGGGGACAGGAGGCTGTGGAGCCGAGCAGCAGGGCAGCTGCCCTGCTAAAGAGGGGGAGCCCCTGCCCCACAGGGCTGCTGGAGGAGGGTCCCTGCCCCATAGAGCAGTGCATAAGGAGAGACCCTGCCCCACAGAACGGTGCGTAAGGAAAGGCCCTGCCGCACGGGGCTGCTGAAGAAGGGGTCCTGCCCCACAGAGCGGTGCACAGGGAGGGGAGTCCCTGCCCCACAGAAGGACGCACAAGGAAGGGCCCTGCCTCACAGAACGGAGGGGCCCTGCCCCACAGAGCGGTGCACGGGGAGAGGGCCCTGCCCCACAGAAGGACGCAGAGGGAGGGGGGCCCTGCCCCACAGCGGGGGTCTGGGGGGGACCCTACCCCACAGAACGGTGCACGGGGAGAGGGCCCTGCCCCACAGAGGGGCCGGGGGAGAGACCGTGCCCCACAGAAGGACGCAGAGGGAGGGGGGCCCTGCCCCACAGCGGGGGTCTGGGGGGGACCCTACCCCACAGAACGGTGCACAGGGAGAGGGCCCTGCCCCACAGAGTGGAGGGACCCTGCCCCACAGAGAGACCGAAGGAGGGACCCTGCCCCACAGAGCGGTGCACGGGGAGAGGGCCCTGCCCCACAGAGGGGCCGGGGGAGAGACCGTGCCCCACAGAAGGACGCAGAGGGGAGTCGGAGGGGACCCTGCCCCACAGCGGGGCTCGGGGGGGGTGCCCGGTCCTCCCGCCCCCCAGGGGGCCGCGGCCGCCCCGCACTCACCCGCCGCTGTCCCGCCGAGGCTCGCGCCGCCCG